ACACACACACACACACACACGTCAAACCTCACATCTTTATCGCACCCCTGCAAAAAGCCGCTTATCACTAATCACAAAGTCATGATTTACAGCAGAGGGTCGCGCTCCAGAGCTTGCACACAGGTTTTTCTGAGTGACTTAACACATGTCAGAGAGACTTGTAATACTGGGAACGAGGCCAAGTCATCTGCACAAAACATTCTTGGATGCAGCTAATATAAATAAAACGTGTTGCCAAGCTAACATCAAGGCTGGCTATTGCAGACAATTGATTTTGTAGCTAGCTGGACTCAGTTGGTGAGTTTTGGAGAAAGGATGGGGAACTGTAAGAAAAGCATTTCAGCCTCATTCACGTTCAACGGACTATAATCTTCAAATAAATCGCAGGATCATCTTCAGCTGTTGTTTCAGTTTGACAGGCCAACTGTGCAGATGTTACTGTTTTCGTTTAATGCGTTGGTGTGTTTATTTCAAAGAGTAGAAAGATTGTGTGTGTGTGTGTTCCAATAAGGTCAATGTGTCTGAAAAAGTGTTACAGTTATACCTGCCAAAAAAGTATTATGGTCCTTTTCAGGGTGCTTAATCATTGAGCCTCCAAAAAACAGAATGAAGATATAAATTATTATCCTGTACAACAAGTTATATTTACAAAAAATAGTCATATTTCAAGATTTCAGAGCTTCTCCTGTTATTTCTCACTGGTGACCTCATGTAAATCCCAGCGGAGCTCTGCACATCTCCAGCCTCAGTGGGTCTAATCTGCCTCATGAGGAAAACCATCTGTGTGTGTGTAAGCAGACTTTATATATATAAATTAGCTGGAAGTGTTTTATCAGGCTGTTGTTGCGAGCACCATCTTCTATGGTATGATTCAGGTATCAAAGCTTAGGACACAGACTCAATTATTTAAAAAGGCTGGTTGGGTCTGGAGCCAAACTTGCCACTCAGGATCACATCAATCCATCCATCCACTTAGAGACTATGTTGAGGACTACATTTGATAAATGACATCAGCGTCACAGGTTGAGTACTTCTCCCCATGATGAGTTCACTGAACCTTAAGGAAATCCAAAAAAAACAGCTGATATAAAACAACCTCACTCATATTGATCAGCTGAGGCATTTTAGGTTTTATTTTATCTCCATTAGCATCTGTTTGTGATGCTATTTCATTCACAGTCCAAAAGACTGATCACATTTGTATCTGGACAGACGACCGTGACAAGTACAGTGTGTGATTTCTAAAGTTAGCCCAGAGATTCTACAGATGCAGTAAAACGCATCATCATAACTTTCCATCATGGTAATTGATAGGCTGTCTGGGGGGAAAGGAGCATTCCTGGAGCCTGACTCCCATGTCTCATTTTCACTAATAGGACATTGCAACGGGGGAGGTTCTGGCACGGGGGAAACGAGGCACATGTACCGGGGAACGGCCAGGGAACGCAGCTCGGCAGACACAACAACTCGGACTGAAAGTAAAGACGGAGGAGGAAGAGTAAGGGTGTAAGAGAAGGACTAAAGAAAGTGAAGAGGAAGGGATGGAATCAGAATAATAAGAGGGAGACATCGATGTTTCGCCAGAGCAGTAGTGTCTGTTCTTTGTTTTACACACACACACATGAATGAGGCCCTAACACACGCACACACGCGCACACACGCACACACACAAGTGTTTATGCTAGCAGATGCTACAGACGTACCTGATTGAAAGACCATGCTGCAGCGGTCTTTCATCATATTGCATCATCTCATAATATTAGTAACGTGAGGCTCCACTATGAACATAATAGTAATAGCAGTCCGGCCTGAGGGAGTTATGTTTGCAGCAGAAGTAAAATATGACTCTCAGTGGATGTTAATCATGATATTACGCTCTCAAACCTTTAAAACATGTCACAATCATCCCAAAGAAGATATGATGTGGTGTATTCATAATACAGCTGCTGCGCCTGCTAACACCTAAAGCCAGCCAACGCAAACATCACTTTCAAAATATATCCCTTGGTCAAAATATTATGATGATTTTAAAGGATAAGTCTTACCTGATGGGTTGAGTTTGATCATTATGTTCCTACATCAAACCAAAGAGGGGACAGATCTGGTGTGTCACAGAACATGGGCTCGTTTAGGTGCTGAATGAAAACCAGGCCTCGACCTGCACTTCCTCAAGTCAGGTGTGGTGTGTCCTCCTCTTCTTCTTCTTCTCTTCTGCTTTATGGCAGCTGGCCTTCTTATTCTTGGACCAGTGCCACCTTCTGGGTGTAATGACAATGACTGGCCACTGTTTTCTTTCCAGTAGCTCATCTTGTTTGCTGCTCAAAGAGTAATTGGTTGGTTTTCATTTCCAAAATCCACATCACCTGCAGCATCTGTTAGTGGATATAAAATGACACTGAGCAGTGGTTGGATGTGATTAAGTACATTTACTTCTTAACTCTACTTGAGTACATTTTTTCTAGATATATACATTATATCAGGGGCCACAATTTACACAGAAGGGCCTTTTATGTGTCCAACATCAGTGCACATATCCTGATTCAGTAATGTGCACATTTAAGTTTACTGTTACCTCGATAGCTTTGAGCAAAGCACACGTTCTTTCAATATATTTGAACATTGTTCCTTGTTTAAGCACATTGTGTTCTTCAAAGAAGCCCCGATGAGACAGGGGGTCTTCGGGGGGGCCAATCAGATTTCAGCTATATCTACCGCCCTGGCCCAACCCCTGAGCCCGCCCCTGACTTTTCTTAAGTAGATTCATTATTTTTCACTTCACTTAATATATCAGCAAATATCTGTTCGGCTCTCTCTACTCCACTACATTTTTACAAAGCACAGAGTTACACATGTTGAAAGGGTTAAAGGTTATCACTCAATCATGACTTGGAAACACTTTCCAATTTCTTTCCAACTTCATAATCCAGCGTTGTACGTACGGCAATCATGGGAGCCTTCCTTCAGGAAAATCATTTTTCCACTGCACCGTATCCTTCAGCACGTGACTGCAAGGAAACATCCTGCGCTAATACACCGAAACAGTCGCTCCAGCTGATGCCCCCACTTTCCACTGCTGATTTCAGTGTGTCTTACATCTTCCTGTGTTCTGTTAGGAGTTATTATGTATTGTATTCGGACTTCGCTGCCAGATATAAATTGCTAGAGAGAGATGATGAAGTATTAAAGTCTGGTCTAAGCCTATAAAGAGGAGGTTCTTTACTGTGATTGTGGGTACAAATGGAATAAAAACACAAAATAGATGTCCAGAAGGATGTTATTTGAAGCAAACAATACTTATTACATACTCAAAGTTGTCCATGGAAATAAAGACATTTTCTGAACATAACTTGGTTTAACAAGCACAGCTCGTTATGGCTAAACTTGAGCCAGTTGCTGTTCTTTCTGCATAATTCTCCTTGCAGCTCCTGGCACAATTTACGTGAGACTTTCATTAAACTGTTTCACACATAAAATCAACCATTTATGACCAAAGGATGTACAAAGCATGACTTTAAGAGGATACTGTATCAATCGTATCACACTGTCGGGGTGTGCGTCTTTATCTTAGAAATTCCTGGACAGCGTGAATCACTAACAAGGTTGACATTTGCCCTCCGCTCTCACTGACTCAGGAAAAAAGATAATCGTGCCTTCAGAGAGAAAGTCAAAGTTACAAGGGGCTATGTTGTTGGTGACAGGTGACACATGAAATATGATCCAGTTTAATTATTTGTTCACACCAAAGGTGAAGCAAATGTTTGCTTACTCAATGCCATATAGTGCAAATTGTTCACTAAGTTTAAATATTTCAACTCGAGCATGCCCTGTGTGGAAAATTTGGTTAGCTTTTGGTGAGACTTGTAATATGACGACAGACACAGCTATAGACATATATATATACACTTTCCAAACACTGTAAAAAGTTAAGCCAAACTCAACTTTATATGCTGTTTGACTCTGCTGTTCTTTATTTTATTTATTTAGTAATGTCACCTGACAGCAAGAAGGTTCTTGGTTCGAGAATTGTGCATTGACCGAACCTTTCAGCATAAAGTGGAGCAGACCGGTGCAGTCTCAGCCTGCAGAAGTCTGTGGTTGGCCTAGGATTTGCCGAGGTGTAAATGTGTGAAACTGTGTCAGTGTGTGTGGTGCAGGACATTTGGTGAAAAAGAACATACCTGCTGAGTGAATCTTTGCTGGATAAATAACGTTTAATAAAGCTCAGTAGGAAGACGAGTGTTTCCAAACAGATCACTAGGCTGGAGCTCAGTATTACATAAGAAAATTCAACAACAACCTTGAAGTTAACTGTTTCTTTCCATGTTTTCATGTCATATCTACCCAATAATGATGCTCCCTATTTCCTTCATTTGTTAAATGATTGCTAAGACAAGAAGTGAGGAAACCTCCCATGAGACAGTTACATCCAAACTGAGAGACAATTTATAAATATGAAAGAAGACAATTAAAAAACAACAGAAGAGTTTTTTTATTTAAAAGAAAATAACAAATAATATCATGTCTTTCAGGGTGGTCCCTTCTGTTTGTCAGATCAAGGTCACGGTCAGGGTGAATAACAGAGAGCTGTGACGTGTGATCACAACCATGAAGAATGAGGAACGTCGCACTCTCCAAGAGAAATGGACAAATTCATTTTTATTGTTTAAATGAAAGACAAACCAGTGTCCCATCGGGATGTGTCACTTTTTAAGTCATTTGTGCCTTCATTCAAATTTGGGGGAGGAAACGTCCACATTCATAATGACTGGTTCAAATTCACAGTATAAAGTCTACAAGCACATCAGACCGAATTAATTTGCCTTGTGATCCAAATGTATGGCATTATTGATTATGTGCCGAGAAAATGGAAGCTGTTGGAAAGCAAAGCATGGAGAGAAGTGATTTCAGCTCTACACCATAGATGGCAAAGTAATGAACAGCGATAAATCATGTTTGATTTTTGGATAAAAAGTGACAGCTCCTCGTGTCTCTACTTTGTGGGAACACGGCTGCAATGATGAAAAAGGTCAATCTCAGCGTCATTACAGATGGAAAAATGCAGTTACTCTGAGTTTGCAATGACAAATGCTCTTGGAGAAAGTTCACGTCCCTCTGCGGAGTTTTGGTGGCCAACACATGTCAACATTCTGACAGAGACAATGCTCAGCAGGCAGGTTTTTGCAGTGAGGAAATTTATAGCTATGAAGCTCAAACATCATTCAGATGGACAATTTGTGAAGTAGTACTACTGTTACTGCAGAGCTGGAAAGTAAAATTGATCCGGGGTTAGTTTGTCTCGAAGAACCATCACAGAGCAGATAACTGATACAACAAAAGATTAGAAAAAAATGTATTTAAATAAAGGTAAACATACCATTAGGTAATTAAGAACCACCATTTAAATATACTTTAAGTATTAAATACTCACAGAGTGTAGCCTTTCCCCTAATGCAATGGAGAACTACATCATTATGGTGATATCCTCCTCTGAATCCATTTTAGTTGTTTCTTCATCATTGATGTTGCTGCTGCAGGAGGCGGGATCTAATGTTACCTGCCACTTCCCCTTTCATGTGAACGTGTGACATTGTAAAAATGTAATCTAGTAAAAAGTACAGATATTTGCTGATATAAATAATGGAATGAAAGTGAAAAGTACCTGGAATATATATCTACTTATAAAGATACATGAAATATGCAGTTTAGTACAGTAATGAAGTTCATTTACTTTGTTACATTCCGCAATTGCAAATATTACCCAACTATCCTTTTGGGAACATTTATGTTATTACCAAAGGTGAGAAAATGTTTGAGTAAGTTGTTTCAGCTAAAAGTAGAACCATCATCATCACTACCATCTGACATCAGACGTGAAGCCAAAGAGAATCTCTTTCAATGCATTAGAGCAATAATAGTGTCACGTGTTAGATAATTCAAAATGGCCCAGGAAGGATGTTATCAAAACGGACATGACCCTTGATAGGATATCAAGGTTCTTCACCCCTGGTTTAGAAGAATGAAGCTTTCTTTGTTTGACAGGAGCATAGCTGTTCATAACTTGTTTTCTTGTGTTATCTCTGAACAGCTACTACAACCATTGGAGCAAACAGAGGGTCACATTTTCCATCATCTGTTTGCCCAGTATTACTATTATCAGGCGAACCAAAACGGTATCAGTCAGTGGACATGGAACCGACAGGAAGAGAACACGAGAGGGGCTAAGAAATCAAAGAGTGAGGAGACGATGCTGCTCTTGAGGAACAACAAACCCCTGAGTGGGAGCAGGGTGGAGGAAGCAGGGCTGAGGCTCATTGCTCATACAGAGGCAATCTTATCTCACTGTCATTAATAACATCCTGCTGTTCACGTCCTCTGTGGCAGCACAGGCTGTGTGGAGCTCTGCTGCGGTTCCACTTTTCCTTTTTCAGTCCGGTCCGCCCACACTCTGGTATTCAATACTCAAAATCAATCTGTTCAACCAAAATACTGCTTATTTACCTAAAATGTGGTAAATCATTTGGTTCTAAATGTATATATTTTTTTTTTTGCATATTGTGTATTCATCTCTTTTAAGTGTAAAAAAAGGTGAATTGATTGGAGACAGAGACAAACCAAACCAACAGGAAACTGCATTTGACTTAGTCATGCACTTAACACAACATTACCCACTGGGGACTATTGTTTCATGTGTCTTCTTTGCTTCCTGCCCCTGTTTATCTCTCGAATAAAGGAAAATATACAAAATTTCATCTGAAGATTTTTCTACTTGTATGATCAGGTGCCAGCTTATTCCTGAAAGTCCAAACCAAGGTTTATGTCTTTGTAACATTGTTTACATTAGATCTATTTTGGTTTCACGTTGTAATTTAGGGAGAGCACTAAAGAACTTTGTATGACATATATACGTCCTGTTGTCATCCTCTGCATGGGCAGCGTCTACCTGTACTTGACATTGATTGGTTTGCAGATGAGAGTACATCTGACGTTAGCATGTTGTCAATTCAGGGCGTAGAAGTCTTTCCATTAGGAAACAACGAAGTTATGATACCCAAAGCCCCTGTGTGAAATTGCTGCAATGTCTCCTGACATAACTCCATGTGAACTCATGAGTGTAAGTTGGTGCTAAGTATTTTTATGACATGGAATTGGATGCATCCAGTCATGCTGGTGTATTTTAAATTAG